GAGCCACAGCCCTAGCCCCTACCTTTGTACTCTTTTATGCCAAGAATTTTACTTAATATAAGTACAACAACAATGTAAATAACTATATGAGGGCAAGAAGGGGTTAATACTTAGAAAAGAGAATTAACTTTGTTGGGATTTGGGGAAAACAATTTTCTGGTTCCATTGCTTTCTAAACTGTTTTTAAATGAAGATTTACTAGATTTTATACTCAGTTCTAGGAAATGGGAAAATCCATAAGTATTGGCATAGAAGTCTGAAATCACTTGCTATACTTGGAGAAGTATAGCCAATTGATACTGTTTATGTAAATTCTGTGATATAAGAAATGTCAGGTTGAAGAGGTATACCAAGGCAAATGCTTATGAGTACATAGTAAAGTTTTTAATCTTTATTTATTTATTTTTATTTATTTATTTATTTTTTTATGTGGTGCTGAGGACCGAACCCAGGGCCTCATGAATTGGAGGCGAGCGCTCTACTGCTGAGCTACAACCCCAGCCCCATAGTAAATGATTTTAAGCAGGGGTATATATAATCTGGTTTGTAATTTAGGACACTACCTTGGCTGCAATGTAAAGGAGGGAGATTCAACGCTTGTTATATTCATTCTCCCTTTTTCATTTTAAAACCAAGTTGTAATGTTGCTCTTTTATTGGGGGGGAAACGCTGTTGATACATGTATTTTATATATATATATATATAGAGAGAGAGAGAGAGAGAGACACACACACACACACACACACACACTTTATTATATAGAGAGCTTCCTAAAAGTGATTACATATATATTACATAAAGTTTCCCATGTTAAACTAAAACTACCATTTTTGAGTAAACAGTTCAGTGGAATTAAGTGTATTCACATTTCGATATTGTTTGAATATGAAGTGTTTGGCAAAAACTCCTGTGTTGCCAGGACTGGTGGTGCACAACTGTAATCCCAGCAACTCAGGAGGCTGAGGCCGGAGGATCATGAGTTCAAAGCCAGCCTCAGTAACTGAGAGAGACCCTAAAGTGCTAGGGACGTGGTTCAGTGTTTCAGCACCCCCGGATTCAATCCTTAGTACAAACAAAACCCTCCTGTGTTGAAGGCTTGTTTCACAATTTAGCAGTGTTAAAAGGTCAAGATTTTAAAGAAATGATTGGATCACGAGGTCTCTAGACTCGTCAGTGGATTGATGATCTGATGAATTACTCATTTGAATGAACTATTTGGAGGTGATGGAAACTGTAGGAGATGAGACCTAATTGGAGGAAGCAAATCACTAGGGGCCTTTTTTGTTTGTTTTAACTTTATTTTGAGACAGGGATCTCACTAAGTTGCTGCCCTGTAAGAATGTCACTTCAGCTCTGTCCCTCCTTCCCTCTTTCTTTAGCTGCTGTGAGCTGAGCAGCTTTCCTCTGCCATGCCCTTCTGCTATGATGTTTGACCTCATCTAAGGATCAAAGTAATGAGCCAGATGTTCATGGACTGAAACCTCTGTAACTCTGGGTCAAAATAAATCTCCTTTAATTTGGTAATAACTATTCTTTAACTTATTCATGTTGAGTATTTTGGTCATGGTAATGAAAAGCTAACAACATTTTTTTGGTAGCCATTGCCGAACACTGTGTTTCTCCAATGTTTTTTCATCTTTTCATACTGAAACTCCTGTACCCATTAAACAATAACTCACCATTTTTTACTCTTTCCAGTTCCTGGCAAGCAACATTTCACTTTCTATATGAATTTGACTATTCTGTGTTTCTCATATAAGTGGAATCATGCAGTACTTGTCTTTTTGACTACATATTTCACTTAGCATAATGTCTTGAAGATATTCTAGTATCTATCAGAATTTCTTTCCTTTTTAAGAATTAATAATATTCCTCTGTGTGTATCACCTTTTGTTTATCCATTCATCTGTTAATGGACACTTGATTTTTTTTTCTTCCTTTTGACTATTTTGAATGATGCTACTCTGAGCTTGGGTGTACCAGTATCTCTTTCAGTCCCTGCTTTCAATTCTTTGGGTGTATACCTAGAAGTATAATTGCTGATTCACATAGTCATTTTTAATTTTTTTAGGAACTGCCATATTGTTTCCATAGTGGCTGCAACATTTGACATTCCCTCCTACAGCTTACAAGATTTCATTTTCTCCACATCCTCCCCTAACACTTCATTATTTTATGGATACACACACATTGTCCTACAGGGTGTGAGTAATATGGTATGTGCATGTGTGTTTGTAGTACTGGAGATTGAAACTGGGTGCTATACCATTGAGCTACATCCTTAGCCCTCCATTCCCTTCCTTTTTAACTTTATTTTGAGACAGTTTTTATGAGTTGCTGAGGCTGGCCTTGAACTTGCAATCCTCCTTGCTCTACCTCCTGAGTAGCTGAAATTACAGGTGTGTGCCTTTGTGCCCAGCTATCTCATGTAATTTTAATTTGCATTTCCTTAGTAGTTAGTGATCGTCACCATCTTTTCCTTGCTCATTGGTCATTTGATCTTCTTTGGAGAAATGTCTATTTAAATCCTATGCCCATTTTTAAATTGGATTTCTTTTTTGTTGTAGGAATTCTTTATATATCTTGAGTGTTGTCAGAAATAGGGTTTGCAAAATGTTATATCCCATTCTTTGGGTTGCTTTTTCACTCTGTTGATTGTGTCCTTTGATGCCCCAAATTTTGAGGTAGTCCAGTTTATTTTTTATTTGTTTGTTAAAGCAGGACTAATTGCTTATTCAGCACACTTATACATAATGCTTAGTAATGGCAAAATCTTATTAGCATAGGAAATTGTTAACCTTTTTATTCTCACTGGTAGAAAGACAAATTTCTTATTCATTAAGATCTAGTTTTAAAATGGATTAACAAAGGAAAACAAAATGTTTTATTGTTTTATGCTACCTAGATAAGCTTTTGGAATGAGACAGTAGTAACAATAGCCATGACTCAGTGCTACTGTGGTAGAACAAGTTTTGTAAGAACTTGATAACTAGGAATCTGTCAGGAAGACTTATTTATTCCATTTCTCAGAAGACACTTAAGCAAGATCTTCTCTGACCACTTTTGCACTATCCCAACTTGCACGATGCTTCAGTCTCACCCTTCCCCTTTTCTATTTTTATTTGTAACATTTTTGTATGACTAGACATCATAATATTTATTTTTTAATAGTCTTCACTGCTATCTTCCCAGTGCTTAGAATAGTACCCTGTGAATATTTGATATAGAATAACCTCTAAGTTTTCTGTCTACAAAACCTTCCAGAACAAGGATGAGGAGGATAGGGTACATTGTTGGTAGAATTACAAATTAATACAACTACTTTGGAAAGATTTGAGATTCCTCAAAAGACTAGGAATGGAACTTCCACGGAACCCAGCTGTCCCACTCCTTGGTATTTATTTTAATCATTAGCTTTTTCACCACTGTGACCAAAAGATGTGACAAGAACAATTTTAGGGGAGGAAAATCTTATTTGGGGCTTACAATTTCAGAGGTCTCTGTCCATAGACAGCTGGCTCCATTCTGCAGAGCTCGAAGTGAAGCAGAACATCATGGCAGAAGGGTGTTACAGAGGAAAATCACATCAGAATGCAGAAAGAACTCTGCTCATCAACCCCAAAATATATAACCCCTGTGACCCACCTTCTTCAGCCACACCCACCTGTCTACAGTTACTACCAGTTAATCTCTTTTAGGGGATCAGTTTGCTGATTTGGTTAAAACTCTCAAAGGGCTGGGGATGTGGCTCAAGCTGCAACGTGCTTGCCTGGCATGCCCAGGGCGCTGGGTTCGATCCTCAGCACCACATAAAAATAAAATTAAGATGTTGTGTTCACTGAAAACTAAAAAATAAATATTAAAAAAATTTTTCTCTCTCTCTCTCTCAAAAAACTCTCAAAGACAAATCACTTTACCCCTAAAATGTCTTCCATTGTCCCACAAGGAGCTTTTGGGAGACACCTAAACCATAACAGTATTTATCCAAAAGAACCAAAATCTGCATACTATAATGATACTTGCATACCAGTGTTTATAGCAGTGCAGTTCACAATAGCCATGTTAAGAAACCAATCTTCAACAGATTGGATAAAGAAAATGTGGTGTATATATACACAATGGAGTTTTACTCAGCTGTAAGAAGAATGAAATTATGTCGTTTTCTGGTAAATGAATGGAACTGAAGAAGCTAAGTGAACTAGTCTAGTCTCAAAAAGTTAAATATTTGCTCTCCCATGGAATATAGAGAAAGGGAAAAGGGTGAATTAAAAAAAAGGGGATCTCCTCAAAATAAAAAGGAGAGCAACAGAGTAAGAGGAAGGGGATCAAGAAGAAGGGAGGAGCAGAAGGTATGGACAATGAAATCTACCAAATTATGCATGTGTCTATGAATATACTACAATGAATTTCACTTATATATATTTATGATGTATTAAAATAATAACAATACAAGGGGGATCAATAGAGTTGAATAAGTGGATCAAGAATAGGGAAGAGAGGAGGAAAAGGGATGGTACTGGTAAATGAGATTGGTCAAATTATGTGTGTGAATGAATATGGAATAATGAATCCCACTATTATTTATAATATGCCAATAAAAATAAATTTTGTTTTTAAGATTACAAGTTTAAAAAAAAAAAAACAAATTCTCCAGAAGTATATGCTGATTCCCAGGGTGAAATGTGCTTTTGTAACATCATTATACTATCAATTTCTGTTGTCACCTTCTGTTTTACTATTTATCATTTATACATGTTATGAAGTAGATTACATGTTTTGAGTTTTGTTGTGTACAAGGTACTCTTCCAAGACATGAATGGGTATTGAAACATTAACATTTTAGGTTTGGCTTTTTCGGGGCAGGGGGTACATACCAACAGTTTTAATAAAAGAGAAAATTATTTTCATTTAAAAAGGGGATTCATGAGCCAGATTGTATTTATAAAGGTACATTAGTTTAATATTTTCCTTAGATTTAACTAATATGAACTTGTTTCCAGATATTTTCTAAATTTGGAACAGTTTTGAAGATTATCACCTTTACAAAGAATAATCAATTTCAAGCCTTGCTTCAGTATGCTGACCCAGTGAATGCACATTATGCCAAAATGGTAATTATGATTATTTTTCATTTTTCAATAATTAATCACTTTCTAAAGGAGACCATCATTTGTTCTCTCTTCTAGTTTACTGTGTGTGATTTTTAAAATAGTGATAAAATATATAAAGTAATATCTACCATTTTAACCATTTTTAATCGTATAATCAAATGTGTTCCCTCCCCTAGTTAAAAATTATTATTTTCTCCTAGAAATGGTTTCAAATCTCTAGTTTGCCCCCTCAGGACTCTTGAAACTCTTTGCTGTTTGTTATGTTTAGAGTTTAAGCACAGTACTCCTGATGTAATCTAAGAGAATAGGTTCTTGCCCTTTGTACTTAATTTAGTTCTATTAAATCAGCTAAATATTGATTTCACTACTTTTGAGAAATTTTCAGCATTCATTTCTGTTGAGCTCTAAATTGGTGAAAACATTATCTCAAGAATTATGCTGTTCCAAAAAAAAAATAAGATTAAAAAAAAAAAGAATTATGCTGTTGTCAATTAATGTTTTTTTAAAGTACACAGATACTTAACTTGATAGTATAACAAATTTCACATTAATTTGCTTATATTACATACGTCTGTTGAGATCTATCCCCAATGCTATTCTGTCTTCTGTTCCTGAATCATTTCTAATTTCTGCTCGAATTAGAGACTAGAGACTAAGGCTTATAGTTCTTTTGTGTATCATGTACTGTCTAGCCCTCAATTAGGAAGATAGCCTTATTGCATATATTATTTTGTACCATTTTAATAGCACAATGACTTTTGTTAATGACTTTTATTGTAAATCAGAGTTTTTAATGTATTTGTTTCATTTGTATGTGCTTTTTGTTTCTGGTATCTGTTTTTATAAATTCAAGTTCTAGAAATCACAAAAATCACAAGTAGTGACAGTTATTCTGTTGGTAAGATTTTATTCTTGCAAAGGGAGGGATTACTGATTTTTTTTATCACAATTGACTCCAAATTTTCCTCAGCTCATTGTTAAAGTATTACAGGATAAATTCACAAAAGAATAAGTGGTAGATAATATTTTGTATATTATGTTTCTGATAAATACAAATTACAAAGGCTTTGTTTCATCTTAATCTATATAAATTATAGTAAAATAAGGTGAAATGTGAAATAGGAATATCTTTAAACACTCATTTATGTTTATCATGTTTAGAGTTTGTTGTAGGCAGAGTTGCCGTATTAGCAGCTTAGTATTTCTATATTCTTCTCTTTTGTTTGCTCCTACCATAGGTAAGATGGATGTTATTTTCTTTTCTTTTTTTTTTTAAGAGAGAGTGAGAAAGAGAGAGAGAGAATTTTTTTTTTAATATTTATTTTTTAGTTTTCTGCGGACACAACATCTTTGTTTGTATGTGATGCTGAGGATCGAACCCAGGCCACACGCATGCCAGGCGAGAGCGCTACCGCTTGAGCCTCATCCCCAGCCCCTGATGTTATTTTCTTTATACAAATATATATTGAGGCTCAGCATCTTTTTTTCTCCCTTATATTCATAGTGACAGAGATGAAAGTAAACCTAGTTCTTTGGCATTTTATTCATTGCTCTCTGCTTTATACCTGATTACCACTCTTTGTCACAGTAGATGTTATTTGATTCATCAGTGGTATTGTCTTGCAAAAACATCAGTCCCTTTCTCATATGCTTTAGGCTCTGGATGGCCAGAATATATATAATGCATGCTGCACTCTGCGTATTGACTTCTCCAAGCTCACCAGCCTTAATGTGAAATATAATAATGACAAAAGCAGAGACTTCACTCGCTTAGATCTTCCCACTGGTGATGGCCAGCCATCTCTTGAACCCCCTATGGCTGCTGCTTTTGGTGAGTAGTTCCTTTTGGGGCCACAAAGCAAGTTTTCTGAAGTTATAAGTTTCATTTATTAAACTGTTAAGTTAGCCTTCTTTGTTTTTTGTTTTCAGAATTTCTAAAGGAAAGCAAGAATCTTGGAACAAATGTAACCATTCATTAAATCTATTTTTTTTTAATATTTAATTTTATTTGTAGTTGGACACAACACCTGTATCTATCTATTTATTTATTTATTTAAGCTTTAGGTGGACAGAATATCTTTATTTTTATTTTTATGCTGTGCTGAGGATCAAACCCAGTGCCTCACGCATGCCAGGCAAGCACGCTACTACTTGAGCAATATCCCCAGCCCCTTATTTATTTACTTTTATGTGGTACTGAGGAATGAACCTAGGACCTTGCATGTTCTAGGCAAGCACTATACTGCTGGCCACAACCCCAGTCCCTCATTAACTCTTTTTTATTTTATTTTTTTTAGATGTATGGACCTTTATTTTATTAATTTATTTATACGTGGTGCTGAGAATCAAACCCAGGGCCTCACACATGCTAGGCAAGCGCTCTACCACTGAGCCACAGCCTAAGCCCCTCATTAACTCTTTAATATTAGAAAGTTCTATTATTTGTGAAAACAAGTAGATATCTCAAATTGAATTACAGTATTTGTTTTCTAACATTGATATTACTCATAAGTTATACAACTATTTGCTTCTAATTGATTCTTAAAAATTAAATTGATTTATAGTCAGCACAATTTTGCCATAAGTACTCTTGAAAATTATTTTTCCTTTTTAAATAGTGATACTTTAAATCAGTGGCCTTAACTAATCATATATTTTTCCTGTATTCAAAGACGAGAATTTATCTTGTTTTTTTAAACATTAGAACTTACATTTTGGGCTGGAGTTGGGCTCAGAGGTAAAGCCCTTGCCTAGCATGTGTGAGGCACTGGGTTCTATCCTCAGCACCACATACAAATAAATAAAGGTATTGTGTTTTGTTTTTAAAACGAACTTATATCTTTAAGTTTATGTGGTATTGGATTTTTCATTAATAAAAATACAAGCAATATCACTAATTGAGACCTTAAGTAGTATTTAATCCATCTTCTTTTGTAGGTGAGAAGCTATCAAATATATACTCATGGTGTAATTAATGTTCTGTATTATGGGAGTAGGACATTTGGAAAATATGGTTAAGAGTTTTGCTTTCTGAATATAAAGTATCACTATTCACATTCTTTTTCATTGTTATTAATAAATCTTTAGTCGTTGCAAAATAATATTTCCATCTTGAGTGATTCATCAGAGAAAAATATGTTTTACATATTGTGTAAAAGTTTCTCTTCTTTGCCTATCACTAATTTTTGACACAGTTCACTATTCCCTCCTTTCTTAGCTTCTGCAACACCACATTCTCCCTACTTTATGCCTTCCTCAGTGGCTTATATTTGCTTGCCAGCTCTTTTTTTTTTTAATTGATGTGTATTAAGTGTTCTGTGATAGTTATATCAAATTTTTTTTCCTTATTTCTCTAATACTTAATGGCTATCATTCTGCTTCACTCCCCGTAGCCATCTGTATTAGCCACTTGGCTGTGCTTGAAAACTGGCCCTCATCAAGACTTTATGGCAATTAACATTTTTCTAACATGCCTCAGCAGCAGCTGTGAATCAGCTTTCACAGCACTCCTCCCTCTTGTGATATAGGGCCCTGCGGAAGGTGTTTTGATGTTCTTGTGGTAGAGCGTA